TCAAGCAAAACTAAAAATGTACAGATTAACAGAAGATAAATTTGATAACTGGACCTCCTAAAATGTAAATACTTCTTGTCACTCAAGAGTAAAAAATAAAACCTACAACAGTGGGAAAAAAATTTTGACACTGGTGCATTTGACAAGGTCTAATCTACAAGACACATAAAAAATTTTACCACAACAATTAGACAACCAATTTAAAAATGGGCAGACTATAAAGAGACATCCAGGTCCCTAACAAACACATGACGAGGGCGTCGTGACCATCCGCCGCTGCAGAGACGCAATCAGAAACCCAGTGAGATGCCGTCTCACCGCTGCACAAATGCTCCTGAGAAAAGCCCCGAAGAGCTAACGACAACCACTACTGAAAAGCAGCAAGAAACAGAAACACCAAGTGACCCAGCAATCCTACTCCCAGATACGCACTAGAGAAGTTAGAGTAACATGGATAAATAGACACCCACGTTTACCACAGCACTGTTGACAATAACAAAATATGGAAACAAGAGCCCATTAATGGACAAATAAACAAAATAAACAAATAAAACGTACGTATCGTAGAATACTGGGCAATGCTAACGAATTAGTCTTCACTGAAACATTACGAGTGAACTGGAGGACCTTATGGAGAATGAAGCCAGTCAGTCACAGAAGGTCAAATATGGTGTACTTTTAAAAAGTCAAGAATAGGTTTACACACAGAAAGCAACATTCTTTGATGGTTACCAAGGCTAGAAGGGGGAAGGGCAAAGCCATTTACTAGAGTATACATACCTTAACTCTTGGTGAAGAGAGGCTATTGATAATCTAACACGGGATGTCAGCACAACTTGACCCAGGTTAAAGAGGATACTGAGGCACTGAAAAATCAAGGACCCAAACACCACAGACTCACTGCAATCAAGTCCATTCGAAACCCCGCGCCCGAGACCCTGCAGCACGGACTAGCGCTGCCTCTTTGGCCATCACTAGTCAGTGCTGTGACAGTAGTCATGCGCAAACATCTGTGAGTAGTTACAGATGCGGTGCATAGATGTGGGAGCTACATGGAAGTACGTGTGCATACACATATAGGTATAGTTGTGCACATTTACAGTTAGCCTGTCCTCCCTATCTGAGGATTTAACCAATTGAAGATCAAAACTATACTGGAGGGAAGAAGCAATCCTTCAATGGTGTGATGTGCTATCTATGTAACCTTTACGTGTTGTTGTTTTTTTGTAACCTTTACATTGTATAGGGTTCCATAATCTTTACGTTGTATAGGGTACCGTAAGTAATCTAGAGATGATCTCAAGTACACAGGAGGACGTAAGTTAATCACAAACACTGTGCCATTTATGTAAAGGACTTGATTATCCTTGGATTTGGGTTATCTACAGGGGTTCCTGGAAGGAATCTCCTGCAGATACCAAGGAATGGTTTCTGTAAGTACTTCATGTATATTTATATATGAAAGTTAAAAAAAAAAAAAGCTACAAAATCATAGGAACCTTATTTTAAAACAAAAATGTCAGGCTGTGAAGCAACCGTGTCTCCACACAGCCTCTACCCAGGTCCGCACACTTCAGGAGGTGCCCAAAGAATCTGTGCTCTTCCACTGACACTGTACTCTGGCACCGTCAAATGACTCAAACTGTACTACTTTTAATGTTGACTTTGAGAACCAAACTAGCAGATGGGAACTGAAAATACAGGGAATCCAGGGCGGATGAGCCCTATAGGACCAGTGGTGTGAGTGGCAAAACAGGGAGGGTAAAGGGAGAATGGGTAGGAAAGAGGGAACCGATTACATGGAACTGTGTGTGACCTCCTCCCTGGGGGACAGACAACCGAAAAGTGGATGAAGGGAGACGTCGGACAGGGCAAGATATGACAAAATACCCATTTATAAACTATCAAGGGCTCATGCGGGAGGGGGGAGCAGGGAGGGAGGGGGAAAATGAGGACCTAATGTCGGGGGTTTAAATGGAGAGAAAATGTTTTGAGAAACGATGTACAAAGGTGCTTTACACAATTGATGTGTGTATGGATTGGGATAACAGTTGTATGAGCCCCTAATAAAATGTTAAAAAAAAAAAAGAGAACCAAACTAAGTCTGGAGGTCCAAGGTCAGGGTTGTATAGTGGGTGGGGTATAATCTCCTAAAGGCATTCTCCTTGAACAGATCTTGCTACCCTTGAAGAATGAGGTGCACTGCTGTCATGGAAAAGAATTTTTTGGCACAACATTCCTGGCCTTTTTTCTCACCAATGCCCTTTAAAGCTTGCAGATATAACTATTGGTCTCCTGCCTGGGGCACAGGAAAGTCAATGAAACCAAACGTTCAAAGAACCAATTATTCCACTGGGCCATGGCCCACAGGCACCACAACCTCCTCTAGTCTGAGACCAGAAAAACAAGCTGCCACCTCACTACCACCACTGCCAACTGTGACCACAACACAGAAGGTTCTGGTGACCACGGGAGAAGAATGTAGACCAAGGCTCAAAGTCATAAAAAAGACAAAATTATTGGACTATGAGATGGGAGGAACCTGTAGCTGTTGCCTGAGTTTGTCCTATTGTAACAGGAACTGAAGCCACTCCCAAAGGACACAAAACAAGAGTGGCCTATAGAATAGTAATACCTGGAAATTAGGGGGAAGGCAGGGTAGGAATGGGGAGAATGCTGACAGAAATAGCAACCAGTGTCATGGAACTATTTGTGTAGGAGATACTGAATGGAAAATGAAAGTGCTATATAAACTTCCACCTAAAATAAAATGTTCAAAATTTAAAAAACACACCAAGTAATAATATATAGTACACCATGACACAATAAGCTCTTGTTATGTATTATTTGTTTCTTTTTCTAAAAGGGCCTGAGTCCAGAGTCCAGAGACACAGGCACACCCTGCAAGGTAGCTGGTATTATTTTAATTAATAAATCATTTTTGGGGGTCTCTTAAAACTCAGAACAATCCATTCATCCAATTGCATCAAACACATTTGTACATGCTGTCATCATTTTCCTCCTGCTTTTAGCCCTTGGTATTAGTTCTTTTTCCCTTCCCTCCCCTCATTATAGACCCTTGATAAATTGTATTTTCATACCTCACACCGTCTGCAGTTTCCCTTTGCCCACGTTTCTGTTGTTTGTCGTCCCCCTCCCGGCAAACGGGTGTTGGTGGTTATACATCGATTGCTGTAGTCAGTTTCCCCAGGTCTCCCTTTCTTCTACTTCCCCCTACCCTCATGGTATTGCTACTTCCCTTATTGTTCCCGAGGGGTTATCTGTCCTGCATTCCATGTCTCGGGAGCTCCTATCTGTACCAGTGTACATGCTCTGGTCTAGCCGGGTTTGTACTGTAGGACAGGTGTCATGATAGTGGTGGTGGTAGGGGGAGGGGGAAGCACTAAAGAACTAAAGGAATGATGTGTGTCCCGTCAGTGCTACGCTGTACCCTGGCTGACTCGTTCCTTCCTTGTAACCCTTCTGTGAAGGAATGTCCAATTCTTTACAGATGGACTTTGAGTCTCCACTCTGAATCACCCTCGTTCACATCAATGATTGTTTGTTTTGGGTCTTCTGATGTTTGATACCTGATCTTGTCAACATCTTGTGATCACACAGGGGGGTGTGCTTCTTCCATATGGGCTTGTTGCTTCCCTGCTAGATGTCTGCTTGTTTATATTCAAACCTTTAAGACCCCAGATGCTATACCTTGTAATAGCCAGGCACCATCAGCTTTCTTCACCACATTTGCTTATGCACCCATTTTGTCTTCAGCAATTGTGTCCGGAAGGTGAGCAGCACAGAATGCTGGGTTATTAGAACAAAGTGTCCTTGCATTGTGGGAGTACTTGAGTAGCGGCCCACCACTGTCTGCTACCGTAATACTTAAACTGTAAATATATGTACATAGACCTATATCCCTATTAATATATTTACATATGTGCATGCCTATATTTGTACCTCTATAAATGCCTTTTGGGTGGCCAGGTATGCTGTAGGAAAATTGGCAAAGCCTGGCTGCAGGCTCTCCAAGAGCAGGATGGAATCCCCTAGGATTCCATCTGAATACATCTATGCGTGATTCTCACTAATGGGAGATAAACTGCCTGTCCCACAAGGACCCGACAGCTAATAGTGTGGAGTGAGCCACGACTGCATCAGGACGACCATCTCAGTTCGTCCCATCCCCTTCACTTAGTAGCAGCACGGAGGTCCTGCTTGTTAGGGCAGAGAGCCAAGGCATCCATCCAGCTGGCAGGACACGGGCCAGGCCTGGCAGGGGACAAGCAGAACCCAGTGTGGTAGACAATTGGGTGCTGCCGATTCACTCCCTGAAAAGGGGGCTCTAATTCCCACCCAGTGTACTAAAAATAAGGTTTCATGACAATGAAGGGGGTTCTAATTCCCACCCAGGGTACTAAAAATAAGGTTTTGTGACAATGATGGGGGCATGTCAAAGGGGAGAGGAGCCACTTGAAAGGATCCAACAGACGAAGTGAAACAAGTTGAGCAGTCACAGAAAGGAGCACTGGAGGAAATCCACAGTATAAAGTGAATGCTTATGAGTTCACACTGATGTAAATGATTAGCTATCAATGGGGAGGCCAATCTTCTGTGGAGAATTCCAGAGAATTTAGGTAAATACTCAGCCCACAATAAGGTGAACCATAGTTCCCCAACCCTCCGTGTGGGATATACACCGAAACTTCCTGCCCAAGAGGTCAGTGTGGAAGAGGGAAAGCAAACACGATCTCACTTCCTCGAGTTCAGCAGTGTACACCCTTGATGTGATGAGAACAGCAATTCACCCCTGAAGTCTTCTCCCCGAATCCTATTACCCCTACGTAGACTCAAGAGAAATACTCGAGGAAGACTATTTTCCGCAGGCTGGTGAACTGTTTTAATAGACAGCTAAATGTTATGTGATGCCCTGGAGGGATCCTGGACAGGAAAAAATGACATCAAAAGGTAGAAACCGTGAAAATGGGAGTAAAGTGTAGTATCTATTAACATTGGTTCTTTATTTGTGATAAACGACCATCCTAATGCACAATGTTAACACTAGCAAATGCTGAGTACACACCACTCTTGTCAATAATTCTGTACAGCTAAACAGCTCTAACAAAATTTTTTAAAGAAAATGTTTTAAAGAGAGAACATCCAAACAACCTATAAAACTTTATCAGAAAAGACATCAGGTAAGGAAGGATTCCTTGAAAGCAGCCACAGGAGAAGGTGTGATAATTTAAAAAGCAATGCTCTCCACACTGAACTGGCAATGCTGCCTGCCGGGCCTTTGTGTGAAGAAGCCCCGCCCAGGGCAAGCTCCTGCACCAGCTGGGCCGGGCCAGGCCGGCCACCAGTCTCTCCTTGCGGAAGCCCGGGCCAGCTCACTTCATATACTTGTCCTGCTGCCCGGCCAGGATCTTGGCTGAGGACTTGGCGTCATAGAAGAGCTCACTGATCTCCTCCACATGCTCCTTCTCGATGCTGTCCTTCCCATTGATCTTAGCCAGGAGGTTGGCTGGGGTCAGCAGCTGTACCGAATACCTACAGTGGACAAGGCCAGGGCAGAAGTGACACAGAGGTCGTTGAGAGGGGACTCCCCTCCCTAAAGTCAGCACAGACACAAGCACTGAGCCCAGCATGAGCTGCAGGCTAGCTGTTGTGGGCATAGCAGAAAAGGGATAGACACTTGTCCCTCCTCCGAGATCTGCAGCAATGACCCCATTAGAGAGGGCAAAGTCACCCAAATGGCTCAATTCCTTCTCCTCAAATCAATCACCGTCTGTGAGGCCTCCATTAGGCAATGACTCCACTGAGGTGCACTGGTGGGCCAGGGGAGAACAATCTGATAACCACCAGGAGGGAGGGCGGCAAGGCCTAAGCCAGTGAGCTACCCACCGTGAACCCTCATCTCTGGTTCTGCCCACTGCCTCTGCCCCGTGCCACCCACCAGCTCCCCGCCAAGGGGCACGCACGCTGACAGGCTAGCATTCTAAAAATCACTAAACATGCTGTTTGAACATGCAGTGCCTGGGAACAAGGTCTACCATACTCATGGCAGCCGCCAAGGGCCCTGGCCTGTGAGGGGTGACTCCCTGGATCCCCCAGTAGGCCCAGCCTCAGCAAGAGCCCGCGGGCTGTGCAGAAGGCCTGCTGCGCTGGAGCAACCCTGGCAGCAACTGGCCCCAGAAGGTGAGCTCACCTCAGAGTGGTCTTCGTACCAATCTCCCCGAGGTGATTCAACGCCTCCTCGCTGATGTTGATGCCCTCTGTCTGGGCTCGGATCTTAATGATCTTGCAGAGAAGAAAAAACATGGTCATAATCAGTAACTGACTACAAGTTTCCATTTAAAAAGGTGAACGAAGTGTTTTAAAAATGATTTTGTTCAGTGTTCCGCATCCTGCAAAGCAGAAGCCCAGCTGGGCCGGTGGGCAGAGCGTTGGCCTGGCACTCCTCCGGGGCAGCATGTCTGGCAGCTGTGCTCCTCATGAGGAGGGCTCCTGGCACCAGCACGGCTCAGCTTCTGCTTCCTCACCCGGCCTCTTGGGTGTTTCAGCACCCACGCACCGCATCATGGTCTCTTCCAAACCTCTGCCTCCTGAGCACAGGCACCACCACTTAGAAGCACTCAGGCAAGCAGAGATATTTTTTTTCATTTGCTTGGTAAATACAATGGTTAAATAAATCAAAAAAGTTACTTAAAAAAATTTATCACTCCTCATAACATCACCGAGAGAGATCTAATCTGTTACGAAGAGGCTGCCGCTCATCGCTGTTGGAGGATGTGGGTGAAGCTGGGACAGGCTGACGATGGGCAGTCACAGCAGTGGCACTGGGGCCCACAGAAGGCGCCCGCACTGAGTGATAAGCCCTCCAGGATAATGATGCTGTGTGGTGTGGAGCAGAGATAACTCCAGGACTTCGAGCCTCATATAATACAGGAATTTTTCACTTTGGCAGCTTTGTAAACAAGATATCAAGAAGTCCTTGTTTAAATTAAAGCCATAAAAACACACCTGGGGTAGAGGCAAGGCAGTGGACGAAACTGAGTTCCAAGCTCAAGCCTCACCAGGAGGGAAAAGGAAGATCAGGGTTATCTAATTCGGTCTTTCCCAAAGCGAGCGATATGGCCCCAAGAGGTGCTGGAACAATGGGGGGCTGGGGGGCGGTATGTGCACTTTATTCAAGATTGGGCTGTAAGTGTTGTTAATTGCCAGGGGCACGGAGTAAGGTTTTAGGAAAGAGGGTGGTAAGCCATGTAAATCAGGGAACCGATGGACCACTTCCGAACCCCATTCAGCTCGCCAGGCAGAGCTCTGAGGAGGGGGCCACAGGGGTGAGGATTGGCCATGGTGCCAAACCAAAAACCAAACCCTGCCATCGAGTTGATAGCAACTCAAAGCATCCCTAGGGCCATGGCAGACCTGTCCTGTGAGTTTCAGAAACTGTAGCACACACTTTATGAGTAGAGAGTGTCCTCTCTCCTGTAGAGCAAGGGTGGTTTCAAACTGCAGACCCTGTGGTTAGCAGCCCAACACATAACCCACTAGGTCACCAGTATGACAGGTATCTGTAAATGGAAAAGGTCCTATACGCACTACATCAAGTGGGAGACAAGCTTGTGGTGAGGGGGTACATGTATCCAGGAGGGGTGACCCTGAACGCAAGCAATCAGTGGCAAAAGCCAAGTGTTGTCAACTGAGTCTCCCATTTTTCCAAAGATTACTACTCAGATTTTTTTTTTTTTTACAGGAAATGTCTAAACATTGGCAAGTTGTCCATACAATTCACAAACATGGCCAAAATGTATCTGTTTAGCCAGCAGGCCAGGCAGTGTGTGACTAGTCGTCCTGGGAGTCTTCTGAGGCACCAAGGCGTTGCAAGCATTTGATCCTGGCGCCTGGCATCAAGAGAGCAGTTCCGCCCACCAGCTCCCTGGCCTTGGGGAGTGGGCAGAGCCTGAGGTTCAGCTCCAGGAGTGTCAGGGCACCGTGCTCTCACTGTCTCGGGGCTGGTCAAAGCAATCACGAGAGCTCCTACTTCAGACTGCTTGGAAACGGACAGTTCATAAATTAGATCTTTAATCATTTAATAACCTGCAGGGATAGTTTATGAGGATGTCGGCGCTGATGGCAGAGTACACAAGTTATATTTAGTGGTTTAAAAAAAAACCAAACCTATGCCAGGCTCCAGTGCAATTGCTAAGGGTTGTTCCTTGAACCACCACGCACAACACAGGGCCCATCCCAGAAGCTTTGGGGGCCCTGCTCTCCCAGCACAGGACAGACTGTTCCCCGGGATGCATGGACCATGCTAAGCAGGGCCCCTGGGCCTGCAGCTCAAGTCATCAGAGGACCCTCCTTCTTGCTGACCCACTTACCTTAGTAATCCCAAAGTGGAGGGAAGGCTGAGGGTGCCTCTGACGCCCTGAGAGCTGGTGAGAGCCTGCCGTCCTGGCAGAGCCACAGGGCAGCCGCCGAGGGAGAGGAAAGACCAATCTCCCTGTGTGTAGCCTAGGAGGCACCCAGCAGCAGGAGAACGTCATCCTGTGACAAAGCCCCCACATTGGTACCATCTCCCAGATAACACACAATCAATGTCGTGAACTGCAGCCTTTTCTGTATTTTGTCACTCTGGTTCTGAAAGGAAATCTCCGACAAGGCCTTACATTCCATGTGTTCAATAAAAAAATGCCTACAGCATTTTCCTGGACAGGTCCCTGGGAATTGGGAGGGCTGTAGGAGTGCCCAGAGGAGGCAGCTCTGGCAGACAGGCATCTAGCAAGCAACACAACCACGAGCAAGGGTGGCAGAAGCAGATGCCTGGGTACAAACCAGAGTCGCCACTCAGTAGCCACTCGTGGGCTTTGTGTACCTGGGAAGAGTGTTTACCCAAATCTTTAAGACAATAGTTTTTCTATTGTCGAAAGTCCCGTTGGCAAAGGACTACGCAACGGTCTGACAAAGTAGGCCCGTCCTCTCGTGAGTGGAGAGGATCTGGGCAAAACTGGTCAGGTCAGTGCAGCCTCATCTAGTCACACTCCAGCCGCGGCCTCACCCTGGGCCCCACCGGGAGAACCTACGCTGGCCAGGAGACGCTCGGGGGCAAGGGCAGGCGCAGTGCTCGCTGCCACAGAGGACCACCAATCCATCAGTGAGCAGCCGGCATGGACACGGCAGGGCTGGCTTGGCTCTGCAGCCTAGACTGATTAAGTCCTAACAATTCAACAAATGGCAGTCATACCTACTACCTGAAGTATTGATAAGGGGAGAAATCCTAAGTGTAACATTCCAGGGCAATGCTTGGCTCACAGTTGGTGCTCTAACTCCCTCGCAAAACTACAAACCTTACTGCCATCAAATCAATTATGACTAACAGAGAGCCCCATCTGGGTTTTCCAAACTGTAACTCTAATCAAGAGTAGAAAGCTTCATCTTTCTCCCACAGAGCAGCTGGTGGTTTCAAACAGCTGTCCCTGTGGTTACCCACCATGCCAAGAGGCAATTCCTCCAGAAAGAAATGGGGCCATGCCCCCTGGGAGAAGGCCCACCTTCATACACCTCTGTCACTCACTCCTCAACCCTGAACTTAACACAAATTCAGCTCACACTCCAGAGCACACGCCGCTGATAATGCTTGTCTCCGTGCCTCTGACGAGTTAGGGACTCGACTACAATCTGCCAGCACGGCCTGAGCACCCCAAGAAAACCCGTCGTCGACCCCATGGTGTACAGCAGGAGCCTGCCAATGACGACTAGAGTTCTTGCCTCCCCACCTCTGGTCAGGGATATTCTACTGCCTCTGTGTGTCCTGGGGTGCGAGCCCGTTCGCCCTCCGAGAAACGCAGAAGCGCCTGGGCCTGCCATGAGCTCACGTTTTGCTGGCACTGGTGGTCTCCGGTGTGATGGTTATCATCACATCACTGTTTCCTCTGCCCTGTTGCTAAAGCATTTCAATGGAAAAGTGCCACCAAGACCCCTGGCAGTGGGGGTGGGGTCTAGGAGGCGCCAGGCTTTGTCCAGTTAGCCTGCTGCACTTCTCAATGAGAAGACTGAGGCTCAGAACGAGTGTGACTGAAGTCAAGCGGTGGATGTCAAGTGCCCCTGGCTGCTCTTGTGCACAGCTGTCACTGAGCACTGGAGGACTGAAGTGGGGAGGAGGGACTCACCTGCTTCATCTCCTGTGGCGTGTACAGCATGGTCCGGATGATCATCACGCGGTCCAGAAGATCCAGAGGGATGCCGTGAGGAGAGATGACATCCTCCGTGCCTCTGCAAAGGCCAAAAACATTCACATCACCCATGCGCCTTGAGACAAGAACTGGAAACACAGCGTGAGGAACTGACAAAGCCAAACACTTACCATCCTGAGCCACTTAGGGCCAGGCCCAGGCCCACAAGGTAATCAGACTAATATTCAGGTAGCTTAAAATAACAACTTTACTAACTTTGTAAGTAGCACTTATTTACTGGCAGAACACTGGCAGAGAAATACTGCCTGCAAACCATTAGCTGATAGCTGACCAATCAAAAGATCCCCATGACGCCCACCAAACTTCACACACACAGAGCTTTATAACTTATACCAAGTTTGCACATCTTATTACTTTTGTTTCTACTGCTTTAGTCTTAAAATCATGTTTAAAATATAATTATCCATCAAATCAATACTTCACCAAATTGTTGAACGTTTAGGTAGCTTCCAATTTTTGCAATATTATCACCACTTTGATAAACAATAATCATCTAATCTTGAACATTTCCTTAGCACATCTCACCCTGTTTAACAGAGAATACCTGCTACAATTCTGACACTTCCTTGAGTGACTAAATGGCAGCCCTAGTTTACACAGCTACACACACAGTGGTCTGGTTTTACTGCCTTGTAACCGGCACTGGGCTCTCTAATTCTTCACGGTTTTTCTGTTTGGAAAAAGAGGGGAGGGTACTGCTGTGAAGATTAGCTTCTCCATGATTTTGCTAAGGAGGCCTCTGAAGGCTTCCCCTTATAGGCATGTTATTTTTTCTAGGGGAACTGTCCAGTAATGTTCTTTGCCTATTTTTTCTTCCGAGAGCTTGAAGTACTTTTGCTGAGTCAAAAGAAGACCGGGCAGACACTGGGGACCTCTAGGCTTGGACTTCACCACAGGGTTTGGAAGCCCTGTGGGCTTCCACCTCAGCCTTTGGAAGCACTAACAGCAGCAGGCCTACGTCAGCACCATTTCCAGCCTTCCTTTATGGGCAAGATGGCTAAGAGTTTATCATCCTGTCTAAGCAGTATCACAAAAACAAGGCATGTCTTAAAACCCCCCTTTTCCGCAAAAAGCAATTCTTTACAATATTTTCTGAGAAATTCTATCACAATTCAAATTTCTGTACTTGGTGTGCCTATCTACAATCTTTGACTAAGCATGATAATCCTTAAGAGCTACACTTCATTCTATGTAGGCCACAGGTTTTGTTTTTTTGTTTTTAAGTCTCACTTTGGAATTCTTTGTCCTAAGAACAAAAAGATAGAAATTCTACCACATTCACTCAGACATAATAACAAACTTAAAAGTTTAGAGGAAAAATGTGGTATTCCCTTACAAAGAACATAATTTGTAAGAAGACATTAGGAGACTTTTTTTTAACACTTTGAGTCCATAAAGATGAGAAATTTCAACAAAAAGTCTGTTGTTAAAAGACTCCTGGAGAGTGGAATGCATTTCTCAAGAACTAAAGACTACATTTTTGTACTAGGCACAAAGCTGCTTCTAGAAAGTGCAGCGGTGACCAATGGTTGCCAAAGCTCGAGCCGCCACCACCCTGGTCCAGGATGCGGCGAATGGGTTGGCCGCTCAGGAGTGGCGCAGAGCAGCTGTGTGACGGTGCACAGGCACAGGGGGGCAGCCCACACTTCCTGCACGTGCAATGCCAAGCAATAAAATGCACCATAGGGACATTTTGGTTGAAGAAGCACATTTCTGCCCGCACCCCAGAGGCTCATTTCTAACTCCGGCTGGCCTCAGCTTCATGTTGATTTGAACGCTTCGGCACTCAGGAATGGTCCAAACTGTGATTTCTGGTGAATCTCTTCTAGTTACTGTTTTGGGCTGTGCGAACACAGGCCCAATTCCTGCACAGAATCCAACACTTTCTTATCTATAGGGACAAGGCAATTCTGTAACTATACCTCTCCAAGTGCAAAATGACATGTACAAATCAGCTGTGTTTGTGTGCATGCGCATGTAATAACTGCTGAAAACCACCTTGTTGTGCATAGGGGCAAAGGAAGATAAGGAAAAGAAAGGATTAAAGAGAGGCAGAGAGATTGCTGCATTTTCATCTAAATAATATATGCTGTTTTCATCTAAATTATACCTGCTGTTTCGAACTGCAGCCCCTAGCACCATAGTACCCCGTGCTTGACATTTACACGAGCGGATTACATACACTCTGTTTTCATAGTGGACAGACTCGGGGATCAAGGCGGCTTGGGCTCATATTCTAGCGTTGCCTACTGTAACTTCAGCAGGGACAAGTGACTTAGTTTCTCTTTCTTCACCCCAATAGTTTTACCTATAAAATGAGGTGAATCACACTACTAATCTCTTAGTCAGATTTGGGAAGATTAGCCAATATTTGCTAAATGTTAGGCAGTGCCTGTTTGAAAACACAAAAAAACAACTTTTTGTTACGGAAACAATTAAAGATCTGTTTGGAGAAAACATGGCATACTCTGGCAATAGTAGTTGCTGAAATTGGAGAGTTGGAGCAGCAGATTATAGCATGTCAAGACAAAATTTAAATGAAAACTTCCAGTCTCTGGAATTAAGGCCATACTCTAGGCATAGCAAAGCCAGCGGCAGGGGCCATTTGGAGGAGTCTCGCAGTGGGTAGCCCTGTGGCAGAATGCACTTTGTCCTGGATGCCAGGAAGCCCTGGTGCCCTTTCCTGGGCTTCAGCTTTTATATCAGGACTTGGGAATTCTTCAAGATCTTTGCAGGACTCAATTTCTGGGAACCAATGAAATACACCCAACCGATGGTCTGTAATCAATGAGATACCATGGATATATGCTTTAGAAGTGCCAACATTTATTGTGATGTTTTCAGGTTTTGGGGGGCATTATTTGTTATGATAATCTCAAAACCACTCTTGTAAAAGTCCTTCTGACATTTCCACATCTTAGAAACTGAAGGAAGGGCCTGTTTGTCCCTCAAATGTAAATAATCAAGATTCTTTTTCATCAACATAAATTCATCTAATATTAAAAGAAAAAAAGTGTATTCCTGTATCCAAAGAGAGATCTACCACACCTGACACTGTTAATTTTTTTTACCAAATATTTAACAGCTCTTGACCAGGCTGCTCCAGAATGTAACATTCATTAATGCTTCATGTCCTACATCAATGTCAACCCAGATGACTGGACAGTGACTTCTAAGCATAAAACAGCCTCATTATCCAAGGATAAACAGCACCAAAAATTCTCATTTCTGAAATGACTCACTTAGACACAGGAGAATGGCAACTAACCAATCTCCTCTATTAGTGTTTCACACATGTCTGTGCAAAGATATTACCTCACTGAAAGGCAAGAATGTCATTTTGAGCACTAAGATGAACGTGACAGCCACGGTATTTTCAATGGCCTCACATGCATGTGAAAGTTGGACTGCATTGAGAAGAATCAATGCATTTGAATTATGGTGCTGGTGAAGAATGCTGAAAGTACCACGGACTTCCAAGAGAACAAACCAAACTATCTTGGAAGAAACACAGCCAAAATTGCTTCTTAGAGGGAAGTACGGTGAAACGGCATCTCACATTCTTTGGATATGCTGCTAAGAGAGACCAGTCTCTGGGAAAGGACATTATGCGTGGTAAAGTGGGGGACAGCAATAAAGAGGATGACCTTCAACAAGCCAGAGTGACACAGTGGCTGCATCGATAGGCTCAAGCCCAGGTGAACAAACGTGAGGACGGCAGAGGACCAGGCAGTGCTCCATTCTGTTCAACACGGGGCTGCTGAAGTCGGCACCAACTTGCCGGCACCGAACCACAAGAGCTGGAGAATGCCTGACAATGGGTAAAGGGCTTCTTTTTGGGGAATTAAAAATGCTCTGAAATTGGTTTTGGTAATAACTGGTTTTGGTAACCTGTGAGTATACTAAAATATCGATGAACTTTTAGAGGAGTGAATTGTACTGTATATGAATTAAAGCTTAATAAAGTTGTTGGATTTTTTTGTTTTGTGTTTTACAGCAAACTTGGGGTGTCTGCTGCCACTTAGGGCACTGGCCTGGCAACTTCAGTGACACTAAGCGACTTGTGCTGAGAAACTCCTGCAAATACTTGTTTATCTTAGAGGCCGTATCTCAAAATAAAAATGAAACTTGCTAAATTTTTCAAGCTGGATGAAGACCAGACACTCCCCCGACAGTTGAGGATCCCGGAACCCTGAAGAGAAAGGACTTCTGACGAGACAACACACCCTTCTGCGTTCACAAGTCTATCTTTTCCTACAAAATCCAGCGGCACCAAGAAAAATCAAGGACGGTGCACCTCACGGAACGTCTTCTATGCTGCCCCACCCATTCCCATCCACACGGAGAAGCAGCCCAGAGGGCTTGGGGTCTTTTGCTAGGGCACAAGGGGGAGAAGCCCCATAATCTCACTGCTTTCTCAGAAGGCCCTGAGGCCAAGCCATGAATACTGGCAGGGTCGTGAGATCAGGCCCCAGGGGTACAATACTCTAGGTCTTAGCTTATATGAATACTTTACATTTACTATTGAGGGCAGTGAGATTCAGAGAGGTCAAGTTACCTGGCCAAAGTTATGAGCTTCCTTTTGCGTCCAATGCCTATGACTTTCCATGTGGGAGCCAGCTTAGTCCTACGCATTCCATGCCCCAGAAAAGATACAGGGGTCACCCTCTAAGGTCCTAACCACAAAAGCTACCTAGGCAGAGACCTCGAGGCCAAAGAGCACATTATCTGGAAAGGACCAAATTGTAACTACTGACCTTCAGAGATGTCATCTCTACCCATCACCACTACTCAAAGCTTGACCCCAATCAGCTGACAGCACATCACTCAGGAAGCAGCATGAGAGAGTGGGGAACAGTGTGAACTTTGGAGCCAGATGGTCCTCGGGCTTCAGAATCTGGCAATATTGCCTAGCTTTTGACCTGGGCAGGTCAACTCTTGCCTGAGTCTGGAGATAACACCACTTATTCCAATGAGTTTGTAAGAGTACATACGATGTTCCACATGGGGTGCTTTGGACATAAGAGCTCTCATCCTGTGGTCTTTCTTTCCTTTAGAGTTCTGGAGGTTCAAGGGGCAAAGAAACTCCCCAGCTCCCCTCCAGAGAGCAGCAAATCGGATATTGCCATACCTGTACAAGTGCTCCGCAAGTCACCATTTCACATCTTAACCCAGTCTTGAGACAATGGACTCTGGAGTCTAACTCTGGATTCAGATCTCAGCCACACTGAGTGCTATCACCTTGGCATGTCATTCATCTTCTCTGAACAATGCTGTCGTCGATAAGTCACTGAGATCACCAACGTGCCTGATACACAGGATACCTCAACATGCTATATGATCTGTACTACTTTTGACATTATTATCTCTAATACTAAGATCCTCTCTGCCACCAGGGTTTGGCGCTGGTCTTCTAGAGCATACAACCCTACTTCAGTTCCCTGCCTGACTTGCAGAAACGCCCACTCATGGGCGTGCCCCTCAACAGTCCTCATCAACTCAGCTTGTAGAGTCCTGGGGCCAAACCTCCCTACTGAGCTATGTCCTACTGAGTAAGTTCTGAGATCAAAGAGCTACATCTAACTTTCCTGTGTACCTATTTCCTGAGTGGGGTGAGCTCCTTCTTTCTTGAATGGGGAGAGTTAAGATAAGGTGACCTGAGTTGTAAGAGACCTTCGTGTGGGGCAGAGAGAGCTCCTAGGCTCTACTGGTGTTGGCTAGGCTGGGTTATCTATCTCCTGTGGAGAGAGGAGAGCTTGTTTGCAGAGCTCCCCAGCAGGGGGCACTATCTGCCCAGACTGGGCCTCTTCACTGACTTTCAGACTGAAGCCAAGGCTGTACAAGCTAGGGAAAGTCCAACAAACACCGGGTCTGTGAAGCAGGAAGTCAGGCACATGGTTCACCTACCAGGTTTCCAGATGATGCCCAGGTATCAACAGTGCTCGAGCCTGGGCTTTTCCCAGTGGCCAGTTGGGCACTAGGTTGTGTCTTGTCAACACACTATTATGATAAATGATTACAAGCTGCTGTGATGTGAACTTGAGTTAAGCACTCAAACTCTAATTCCCAGTGAGAGTGACTGGCTACGATAGATGAGCTGGGCAGGGCCCGGCCTGTTACTGGTCTTGCTTACAGCCCTACAGGAGATCTCGTTAGGGCTTCCCCTGAGCCAGCAGCACAGGCTTTTGGGACCACCTCAGTGGGGATGATAAACTGCTCTCTTAAAAACTAACTACATCTTAAAAAGGGCCAATACCACTCAGAGGCAAGTCGAGGTGAATCAGCAGTTGGGTCCAAACATGATTTGCTCTCATTCTGCATAGGATTTCCTCGGGGGCTGCTATTCCCCCCACCACTACATGCTCGGCTTAAAGAGGCCCTGGTTACCCGCCTATGCCCCCCTGCATTCACTGCAAAGATTATTCACACAGGGCCACAGAAAACCAGAGGAACAACAGGACTCCCTAGTACTGGGAATGCTGACACTTGAGAGACATGAAGGATGTCAAGTTAGCATGTTCTCGGGGACTCACAGCCCCAGGGAATTCCCCTCTCCCAGCTCTGGGCCTTTCTCAGCAGGGTAAGATAAGAACCACAGGGGCATTCTCTCTCTTCAGAGCCTCTGAGCCTGAACACTGCCCTACCTCAAAGACAGCCAGGGAGCAGGTAGGAGGGGAGGTACGCACATATGACTTCGAGAAGGCATGGTAGAGGGACAGAAAGAATACAGTCCTGGTTTTGTTATCCGAACGACCTGGGTTCTCACCCTTCTTGAGGACGTGGGCTAAGTTATTTTGCCATTCAGTTCTCTCATCTGGAAAACGAAGCCACTGTCTTCCTCCAGAGCTCAGTGGAGGCTCAAAGCGGCTCATTTCTATCACACGTCACCAAGTCCAGCCCCCAGAGTTTAGATTTCCTATTTGAAGACCCCCTTTTCTCCCGGGGTCTGACCTGACCTTTGCATAACCCAACTGGATGGCACCACAGGGCAAGCCCGGAGTTCACATGAGAGGTGCTATATTCAGTAACATTGAGGGCGGCTCGTGCCTTGTCTGGTACATAAACCAGGGAACATGGGTGCGTCTGCTCTCAAAGTGAACATGACCTCCCTTCAATTTCATCCCCACAACACTACGATTTTAATGACCCCACCAGAGAATATGAGCCCACGGCAGGCAGGCACCCTACCTGATGACACAATTGCCTCGGTTGGATGCAAAGATGACAATGGGGGCAATAGACGATTCCAGGGCCCGGTGCAGGTAGGTGAAACATTCAATGTCCAGCATATGGACCTCATCAACAAACAGCACGCCTGGGACCAGCTCGGCAACGCCTTGGTCAATATACTTGTTCACAACCTTGTTAATCTCCCCTCGAAGTTTGTCTAGGAGGCAAGAGTGGACAGACAAGATCAGTACAAGGTGCCAGGGGAAACTCTCAACTTGCTTACCTTCTAAGTTTAATCCAAATGCAACTTTGACTACTAGCTATGTGACCCCAGGGAGGTGGTGCGCCCAGTCCAGACCTCAATCTCATTGCCTGAGGTCACAAAATTGGCACCCTCCTCTGAAGACAGGTTGAGTTTGGAAAGTGGTCTGTAGAATGGGAAGCCCTTCACGAGGGGCATGCACATCTCAGTGTGTCTCATACCCACCCACATTCGCTCCCTGCCTGATCTGAGACACTAGCCTTTGGGAGCCAGGATTAAATGAGCTTTCAGATGCAAATTTTCCTCAGCCGCACTCAGTAAATGACCCTTTCTTTCAGTCCGGGGTGACAAAGCTTAGGTTAATTAACTTTCCATCAAGTGCCCAACTAAGAAACTGTAGTTAGAATCCTCTCGGGGAGGAAACATGAAGGAAGGAAGGTGCACACCACAGATCTCATTTTCCAGTCTAGCCCTGTGGCTGTCTCACAACTAGACATGAAAGCTCGGGCACACGTTGCACCAAAGCCAGGAGGCCAAAATGGCCCCACAGGCTGTATGAGCAGTGACAGAGCCTGCTCTTGATGACCAACAGAAAGGTCCCATCATCCCACTGGCTGGAGAGCTAATGAACAGCTGCTACTTAAACTCAGGAAGAGAAAGGGATAAAATAAAGGGCCGGCCACCGGAGGGACTCCCAGAAGGTCAGGAAGGCCAGCTGCAGGACTGTCTGTGATCCACCCTGGGACGTTACCCTGGCAGAGCCAAGGTTCGCAAATCGACCTTTCTAGAACTTCACTGAGAAAGAGCCTGCTGCTGTCTCCAATTGTGTTTCAGCCCTGTGTTTCAGGGCTGTCTAAGGGTAGCCAGAACCTACCTGTTAGGCTACAGTCAAACCAGTTTCAAGGTCAGAGGGATTCACCCACAACTTCAGAGCATACATACCAGAACCCACGGCCCTCAGCTCTGACCCCTGCTAGCAGGCCGGCAGTTCACTGTACCTGTGATTTCTGTCTTCTTTGGCTTCATCAACTGGCCCATCATGGACAGGATGTCTTGTCCCCCCTGCAGAAAACAGACTTACTTACTATGGAACAGTGGCCTCATGAAAGCCTTGTTACTGTCAGCACAAGGAGATGCGAGTGCTTTGTCATTTGTTCAATGTTGGGTGGTCCCCTTTGGTTACTAGGCCTTGTGGTATAGAGATGTTCATCACAAAGTGTAAACAATTAAAGGTAGCAAACATTAACAATTGCTACTCAAAACAGGTGTCAGGGAGGAATTATTGCATGGCTTTTTAGAGAGGAATCAGTTTCCTGTATCACAGAGATCCAAAGTGACTAAGTAGCCAAACAGCCCAGTCCTGACTTCCCGTTTCTAGTGCAACACCTTTCCCAAATCCAACCTGGGGGCAGCCATCCCACCTACTGAGGGGATCTCTGGTGCAAGACTGGTCATCTCTTGACCAAGTCTTTGAGAAATGAAGTGCCCAACGAATCAAATTTCAAGTCAAAACACCTCCTTAATGCTTGTGTAAGAGGCACCCTCTTTAAAGATGCAGATGAACTAAACTGAAAGACCACCGGCAGGGAAGAAATTGCATATGTTTAATTATACATTGAAATGTCATTAAGTGACATATTAAGTAAACACATCTGCCTGTGTTTCCTTAGTTCAGGCACAGTATCTAATAATTTCTAATCAGTGTAAGGATTTGGCTAAATGGCAAGAAAGATGCATCCCCATCAAGCTTCCCGAAATCCTGCAAAGGGGCCCTCCCAGCCTTTAACACCACACGAATCCCAGGCACAAGCCTGCAGTTGGAGAGGAGCCACAGAGGAAGCTGGCTAGCTCAGGGCCAGAGGCTTGGCGGGGATAACAAACAATACCCACAAAATCATCTGTGACTACAGCATTTGAATTGAAACAAAGGAATCACTCCTAGCTCATGTCAATGTTAATTGCTGAACATTACAGACAGAAAAGGGCCAGGTAGGCCCTAGGAAATGGTATCAGGAAGCTGAGGATTCATTCCCAGAGCTAGGGAGCACACACAAAAAGGTTGCATCAAGGCAGTACCTGGGGCCTGGCATTGGCCACATCCAAGTCATGCAAGGTCACATCCTGGATAATTTCTTTTTTCTTGTGCACATCCCCCTTTGGCAAGGGTACATACTCTTCAGCTTCAAGGTCAAATTCTGTGGCATAAGTATCACACCTGCCCTGCCTCTGCAGAGAGAGAGATACATGAATTCCTTGTGAGTTTTCACTGCCAAGTCCCCAAATGGCACAGCACAAAGTGAGATAAAGGTCTCAGTTCCCAACAGCGGGCCTGACAGCCTACTTGACAAACCCCAAATCTGTCCCACTCGCCTGCTGCCAAAAGCAGTAAGCTATCTGCTCATCACTGGGCTCCAAAACTACTGCTGAGAAACACCTGATACTTTCTCCAAGAATCCACCCCCACCTCTTTTAACTGTATGCAAGTCCCGATAAAGTGCAAATCCAGTAGATTAACTGGAGACGGAGGGAGCTGTTCAGACTCTTTTGTAGGTGGGTGATTTATTGTATGATATGAAGTATTATGCTCATCCATTAAACAGTGAGAAACACTGTACAGGACACTGAAAATCAGATATAAAAAGAATGCCAACTAATGCAGCATTCCTTTCCACATGCATATATCTTGGAAAGAAAATACCACAGAGATAAAAGGAAGATTAAATGCACTGCACATTTCAATTTGAAAATGAGTAAAGTTGTTTTGGTTTCTCACCCTGTACTCACTGAGCCTCGAAACAGGTTTTAGTATTTTTCTAAGACACTGTTTTATCATGAGAAGGTTACAGAATAAAGATAAAGGGAAAGCAAACTTTATTAAACCTAAAGGGGCAACTGCCAACCTTGCATCAACGTTGCCCCAGACAACAACCCCCCAACCCAGACACCCTCTGAAGGAAACCCTGGTTTCCACTGCCGTCTCTTTATGGCATCCAATCGGGGATGGCGTTCAGTCCCAAGGAAGACATTACCTTCACTGCCCCACTGTTGGCCTCAATGTAAATCACATCTCCAGCCTCGACTCGCTCTTTCTGCAAACTCTCAAAAATGCTAGGGTCCAGCTTGAAGGGAAAAAGAGAGAATCAGAGAACTGTAATACATATATTTCTTTCTGAAAATTCTTTATTCCCCCAAGACATTCAAGGTAGTTATCTGTGCGTAATGTCCAAGTACACGTGAGCGAGAAAGCGTGTGCGTATGACTATGCACTGGATTTGGGAGTGTGACTGCAGAAGGAAAGGGAGGGAGTGGGCACACCTGTGTAAAGGACAAGAATGGGGTGTCAGGGGAGGCTGGCTCTCCTCCTTTGCGGCACAAGCTGCAAACTGGCAAGCTGGAATTGTAAGAACATGGATTTGACTGCATTTGCATAGAGCCCACTCCCTCCTGAGTTATATTACTATCTGTGCTTCACTCCTTCATTCACCTTGTCCGGCCAGGTGTGGAACCTTCCACATCCAGAGCACCTGCTAGAACCTGTGTACCAATCTCAAGGCTGGTATTTGGCAAGGCCTATGATTTTGGACAAGGTTCTCTGAGCCTCGATTTCCTCACCTACACAAAGGACTCGGCTGTAATCATAGATGTGTAAAATTCAAAGCAAAACATACAAGCTCTTCCCCACACCTTCGTATTCAAACCCCAGTGTTTGTTGTCATGGGACTGCTTAGTGTGTACCTTCAGGAAAGGAAGTTAGCATATTTTGGGGAACTGAGGCTTCTCCCCAGACCATCCAGATTCAATCTACTCAGGGTGATTGTTGAGTAGCTAGCTTGATATTCTATGAAAGAAAGCACTTTCCCCCTAAGGATTCAGTATTTAGACACAATTTTCTCTATGTTAAACTTTAATAACAGTTATGTCATAAAATATGGTTATGGTTATCCTTGGACAAATGAAGCTTGCTCGATCTCAGGCGATTAAATATTGTAATGCGGGTGAGTTCAAGTCCAGATCTGAAGGGTGACTAAGGGTTACAGTCTTGTGTGTGAGGTTTCTTTTTGAGGTGATAGAAATACTCTAAAAGTAAATTGTGGTGATGGTTTTACAGCTTTGAAAATATACCAAAATTCTAAGAAGTGGACCCTTGGGCCATCTAACTGAGAAACAACAAAGCCCACATGGAAGCACACCAGCCTGTAAGATGAGAAGGCGATGAAGGGATCAGGTATCAGGCATCAAAGACCAAAAACACCCCAAAAACCTCATAACATTGTGAATGAGGGGGAGTGCAGAGTGGGGACCCAGGGCCCATCCAGGGGAAATTAGACATCCCTTTGCAGAAAGGCTGCGCAGAGGAAAGGAGCCAATCAGAGTGCAGTGTAGCAACGATGAAATATACAATTTTCCTCTAGTTCTTAAATGCTTTCTCCCCACTACTACCATGATCCCAATTCTACCTTACATATCCAGCTGGACCAGACGATGTACACTGGCACAGATAGGAACTGGGAATACAGTGAACCCAGGACAGATGAACCCCCCAGGACCAGTGGAGAAAGTGGCGATGGCGGGAGGGTGGAGGGAAGGTGAGGGAGAATGGGGGAACAGATGACGAGGTCTACATATGGCCTCCTCCCTGGGGGACGGACAGCAGAGAAGTGGGTGAGGGAGATGTCGGATGGGGTAAGATATGATAAAATAATAATAATTTATAAATTATCAAGGGTTCAGGGGGAAGGGGGAGCAGGGAGGAATGGGGATGAGGAGCTGACACCAGGGGCTCGAGTGGAGGGTGGGTGTTGTGAGAATGATGAAGTCAACATATGTACTAATGTGCTGGACACAAGTGATATATGTACGGATTGTGATGAGTTATATGAGCCCCTAATAAAATGATTATTAAAAAAAAAAAGTGGACACTTAAGATGAGTAAATTTTATTTAAAATTATGTCTCAATAAAGCTTTTAAAAATTACCAGCCCCTGAAATTGACAATGACTGCATAACTCTTAATATGACTATACTATCAAATTGTATGAAAAATGAATTACATGCCAATAAAACTATTAAGAACAATAAAATGACACAGATAAAAACCCAACACCACGGGGGTGGGGGAGAGAGTAAGAAGCTGCACTTAAAAAAACATGCTACTTATGTAGCTCAAACAATGTCTGTTATAATGTCATCATGGTATATTTGGGGGTAATTTAACTTCTTCCTATTTGTCATGTTCTCTGCCATCTAATAAAGTTGTTAAATTTTTATGAGAAAGAAGAAAAAGTAGTGTCATGTTACAAAAAAACCCCACCGCCAGCAGCACTTTCAGGTTCTGCTTCGGCCTGGCTGGGGTGCAGGTGAGGCGACAGGCGGCGATGGTCTGGCTGTCTGCTGGCGGGGGAGTAAGCACGCCCACAAAGCTGCACGAGGGAGGCAGTCAGTGCTCCTGCTGCTACTCTTGCTGGGGCTTGAACCGCCTTCATATTTAACAGTCTGTAAGCAGAGTGTCAAGAAATACCCAGTTTGGAAGAGAAGGCAATCAGCTTCTCCCTTACTTAATTTTCTTGAAAAGAATTGTAAAGCAGCCTTAGGAATAGTAGAAATTTAAATGACACCGCTTATTTTATCTATCCTATGTTGGAGAGTATATACCCCCAAGCCTTTTTACTGCAGTTAATTTTTCCAAATGAATTGACTGAAGCTCTAATTACTGGAAAGACGGCAGATCCCACTAAGCAATCTAATTAATGCAAAATGGTAGGCATCCAAGAGATATTTGCAGAGGTAAGGTCCTGAGATGGAACCCTGGTTAGGGGGGTGAGGGGAAAGAAGGTCCTTTGGGGGAAGTGACCTCTTTAGGATCTCCATAAAGCAGCACCCAAGAGACAACCTTAGCAAATCAAAGAACCATGCACTTGTAGAACAGAGTACAGATGAAGAATGTATGTAGTCAATCTACCGCAACTTATAGGTGAGAACACGGAAGCCCAGCAAGCTGACCTGACTTGTTCAAGAGCACACAGCAAGGTGGCAGGCAGACAGACAGCATAATGGCCATGGCCTAGAGAAACTTGGGTTAGGACCCCAGGAAAAAGTGCTGAATGTTTCCAGGAGTTATTTGTGCATGAAAATTACATGCACACATAACTTTATAAACAGAAATAATATTACGTGAGATACTTAGCTCTGAGTCTGGTACATACAATACAGGACAGCTATGATAAAGATATTATCTTTTAATAATAATAATAAGGCAAAGACTACTATCCAAATGGACTTTATCTAACTTAACGCTTTTACAATAACATCCATACTCGGCTGTAATCATAGATGTGTAAAATTCAAGGCAAAACATACAAGCTCTTCCCCACACCTTCGTATTCAAACCCCAGTGTTTGTTGTCATGGGACTGCTTAGTGTGTGCCTTCAGGAAAGGAAGTTAGCATATTTTGGGGAACTGAGGCTTCTCCCCAGACCATCCAGATTCAATCTACTCAGGGTGATTGTTGAGTAGCTAG